TGAATGTAGGATTGTTATTAAGATTTGTAAGAGACCCCCAGTAAAATGATTAATAATAAATAAATAAAAATAAACACATGAGGATCTAACATGACCAAAAAAAAGGAGAGAAACTCGTTTATTTTTCTTGGTTATTCTGTCAAATATCACTCCCTTGACAAAGGGAGAGCCCGCCTTACCCAGAGGCAGAGTGGAATGGGCAGACATCAAGTGCCCGCTGGGCAGGCTCAGAGGCCACTCCATGTGCGTGTGATGACAGAGAGGCTGGGCGGAGCTACAGGTCACCCAACCCCACCTGACCTGACCATGCCTCTAAGAAAACTCCAGCCGACGCCCCCAGTACCGAGACTTCCTGCTGCCCCAGGGTGGGCCCTCAAAATTCTTGTCCGGAGTGCACCCCAGGAGGCCCCACCACACAGCCGGAAGGGAAGAGGCCTTTCCAGGCAGAGATGCAGAAATTGTCCAAAGGTGTTCTGACGCCCTCACTGACTTATAATGACCCTGCTGGGCAGGGTAGATCTGCCCAGTGGACATCTGAGACTAAAAATCTTCACAGGAGTAGATAGCTTCATCTTGCTCCTACAGTATGGCAGGGGGATTTGAACCCCTGACCTTGTGGTAGCAGCTCAGTGAGTAGTCCACTACACTACCAGGGACCAAGAAGCGCTTCAATAGTCAGGCTGAGTGACTTAGAGAGGACCGTTGAGTTAACATGCCAAGCAGTGTTGGCTCAGGCCAGCAGTTCTCAAAGTGGAGCCCAGGAAATGCTCGGAGGGGGTACCCAAGACCCTTTTGGGGTGTCCACAAGGCCAGAATTCTTTTTCTAACAATACAAAGGTGGGATTTCTCATTTCCTGCCCAGGCTCTCAGAGGAGCACTGCGGCCAATTGAAGACAGGGCAGGTGTGGGAAGCCAGCTGTCCCCTCCGGACCTGACGTGCAGGCTCTGAAAAACCGTCCCAAGGTGCCACTCCTCGGCCGATCAGTGCGCTGGGTTTTTGTGCTTGTTTGCATGAGGGCGTGGAAAATGTAACTTTTACGATAGGAAATGTTGACGAAGGTGAATATCTTGTGGGTTTTCATTGCTAATTTTAAATGAATGAACAAGTAGAGAGACATTTTCACTCTCCTCATTTTCACTTAAATATGGTAAATATTTGGTAGAAGTTCACATACACCAACTAATAAACGAAAGCCTGAGAGGGAGCGGCTGAGACAGGATCAAACGGAGGACGTAAGAATAGTTAGTCTCTCCAAAAAAACCAAACTCACTGCCATCGAGTTGACGGGGACACCAGCGACCCTCCAGGACCGAGCAGAACTGTCCGTGTGAGTCTCCGAGACTAACTCTTCACGGGAGTGGAAAGCTCTGTCTTTCTCTGATGGGTGGTTTCAAACTGCTGACCTTGCAGTGAGCAGCCCAACACGTGACCAATACACCACCAGAGCCGAAGAGACAAGTTACAGTCCAGAGGTGGCTTGATTTCCTTTAAGGGCTTGTCAGCAGCCCTTTGCCCTGCTGTGGGCTGGTGTGACCACAGAGGTCTCTGCAGAGGGCAGGGCCCCGACAATTGCCTCGTACTGGATGGCATGAAGGCCACTGTTGGAGTATGGTGGCCCATGTCCAGAAAAGACCCCATCAACGAGGCCTGGGGCATTGGGGCTGTGGACAGAGACTGCTAACCCAGGGCTCTGCCCGCCTTCAGAAGCTGCTCCACCCTCGGGTTTTGGGATCAGCTGGCAGCAGGGAGGCCCCAGTTTCAGTCCACAGGTTAAAAGATACGAGCAAGGGAGCTTGCTGGGAAAGCCACGAGTCCGTCCTCTCTGGATTGTGATTTCTATACTTCAAGGGAAAGGCACCTACCCAGCGTAGAGCCTGCAGCAAAAAGGCTTTCAGGCGGTCACTGCCCCAAATCAGATCCTTCTTCAGCTTCCCGTAGTCCAGGGAGGGCAGCAAGGGGACATCCTTCAATTTCCTACCCGGCGAGGAGGGTCAAAGAGAAGGGCATACTGATTAGACACCACTGCCCCGCCCTGCCCCGGCCCCCCAGCATCCTGACGTCCACGTGCAGCTGCCTAACTGGGTGTGGTGGTGGCCCGGTTCTTTACTCTGGGCTCCTGGCACCGACTCTGGGGCTCCCAACCCACAGCCCAGCCCCACCCGGCCCGGCTCTGCCTTGCTGTTGTACCAGCGTGGACTGGTGGTTTCCCTCAAACGAGGAGGCTCTCCGTGAACCCGGTTTAGAGACGGCTGGACTCAAGCCCCCGCTAGGCTGGGACCCCACGGACGGGGAAGAAGTCATCTTGGAGGCCCTTGTTTCCCGCCAACGGTCCATCTAGAGCCCCGAGTGACCCCTTCAGTCTGGGGGCGTTCCTGCCCGCCTGTGGTTCCGGGCTCGGGGTGGGAGGAGGGTGCCGATGCCAGGAAGCAGTGCAGGGACCCCGTGAGACAGGCTGGGGGGCAATGTGCAGACTGTCCCCAGAAGGATGAGTCAGAGGCCCCAGGGGAAACCTGGTTTCGGTTCAGAGAGATCTCTGCACAGAGATCTCCAGAGCGCAGACCACCCTATGTTTGCCTTTGTTCTGGTGGCAGCAGACAGGCCCCTACAACGCCCCGGTCTGCCAACCAGGGGGAGATGGGAGTGTCTGGGGAGCCAGTGCACTCCACGTCTGTGCGGGGAGCAGCGCCAGGGCACAGGGAATGTCCCTGGGCTGGCACTGTGCCACAGTCGCAGAAGGACATGGGGGAGGCTGGCGGGAGGGCTCAGGGGACGGATTCCGTGCACGACTTTTGCACCTTCTTTTGAGTCTGTAATTACTTCAAAAGGGAAACAAAGCAAGACAAAAGCCAGGCCTCCCCACTCCCTGCAACACGACTCGGCCAGTACAGTCGGAAGACAAGGAGCCACCACACGGGGACCCAAAGGGGCTTAATGAACAGCTTGGTGACCAGACGAAGGGCAGCGTGGGGTGCTTGTCTTCCGGGCAGACTGAAAATAGAGTGATCGTGGTTGTCTCGGGGTGGGGTGGGGGGTCATTTAAGTTCTCTTCTTCATGTGTCTCTCAGCATTCTGATTTTCTGTAATAAGCATGTACTGCCTCCACGTGAGAAGATTTTTAAGAATGCAGGCTCTTTCTAACGAATGGTAGTTCTTAAATGGCAAAGGAGACTCTGGCAGGCCAGGGGAGAGAGCACCAACTGAGGTCTTCACCCACTCTGGGGAGGGTGCCTCCACTGCACACACACACAGGCACCTGTGCCCGGGCACAGATAAGTTCTCTTAACACTTTTCCTCCCTAAAACGGAGACTATTGTGAATTTTTAAATTAATTTTTTTCAACACGCCAGTGATAAATAACTGACGTGTATACTTCTGAAGTGGCAAGACCACACGAGGGAAGGGCAGGTGGAGGAAGAGCTTCAAATCAGAGGGAAATACGGAGCCATGGTGCGGGGACCAGAGTGAGAGCCTGGGACGAGGTGGAGCGGCTGGGGGGACCTGGGGGCGCCCGGGACGGGAGCACTGGATGGGGAGGTCTTTGAGCTGGATGGCGGGCGGCTCGGCTCAGAAAGGGCAAGAGCACTTAGGGGTGGGCGGGAAGGCTTCGTGCTGTTCCTGCTACTCTGAAACCATCTCCGAATGAAAAGTTTAATGAGGACAAAATGTCACTAAGGTTCTTGTTCTGTAGGAGGGGCTTCAGAAAGGCTGAGAAACAATGGAGTGAAGAGGGAATGGGACTTCCTCATGAGCTTGTGAAGCCCCCTTTGTGTCACACCCGTTTATTCAGAAACACAGGGACGTTCTGTAGCTGGGTGCTTCCTGTGGGGAACGAAGAGGCATCACATGGCACAATTACTCGCCAACAGTGCACCAACACCGACCAAGTGGCTCGGCGCCCTGCAGTTCCGTGGGCTGGCATCTCAGAGGCCGGTCAGACCTGCTCCTGGGGCCTCCAAGCCCCCAAACTCCACTGCCGTGGAGTCGGTCCTGACTCACAGAGACCCACCGAAGGGACTCCAGTCTGCACGTCTTTATGAGAAGCAGACAGCCTCATCTCTCTCCCTTGGAGAAGATGGGGAACTTGAACTCCTGACTTCATGGATAGCAGGCCAACGCTTAACTCACAGTGCCACAAGCGTCCCTTCTCCAACTAGTCCCGCCTCCCTTAATCCCTGCAGGTGAGCTTGCCCCGATGCCCCGCGGACGGAGCGTTTTGCAGGCACTGTACAACATGCTTGACACATACGAAGGAGGCCTGTGGCGCCGTGGGTCACGGGTGGGGCTGCCAACGGCCAGGTCAGTGTTTCAACCCCACTAGCCGCTTCTCGGGGGGAAAGATGAGGCTGTCTGCTCACAAACAGCCCTGGAGACCTAGAGAGCCGTTGACTCTGTCCTCTACGGCCGGGGGAGTCAAATGGATTCCCACAAACTAGACAACTCCTTTCTAGCCTCACTACAACCTGGCCAGGAACATGAAAAGGCAAAATAAAGCCCACCCCCAGTCTCATCGTGGTGACCCCACGTGCCTCAAACACACAGCAGCTGGTTCACAGGGTTTCCTCAGCCAGAACTGGACTGCCAGCCCTTTCTGCCCTGGTGCTGGTGGGTGAGTTTGAACATGCTCATGTGGAAGGTTCTCGTGTCTGCCACCATTCACAGGCAACGCCCTAGGCCCCAGGGCACCGATCCTTTACAGACCCCTCACGTCAGTCAGGGCAGACCGATGTTGACAGGTACTATCATGGTTTTTGTTTTTTCCACTTGATGCCCCTCCACCAAAATAAAAGCCTCACAAGAGAAGCTTCTTCTACTTTAACAACAGGAGTATTTCTGCCCAGTCCTGGCATTTCCTCCAGACGAGGCTTTTAGGATGAAGGGTCATCCAGGTGAGGACCCAGTGAACTCTGGTTTTACATGGAATGGTTTTCCTGAATGAATATTCCTAAGGGTTGGACTCGGCTCTCGGGCAGTGAATTCAAAGCAATTTACTCAGGAGCACCGGCGAAAGGGTTTGGTGGCCTGGACACCTCCCATCACCTGTCCATCTGCCCCCAGAGGTAATGGCCTAGAAAACCCTGGGGGGGCATTCTCCTCCATCTCAGGGGACAAAAGTCAGAGGGCGGGCACCTGAAAACAGGAGCGATTACTTACACAGGAACCAGGGAGGCTCTCAACATGGTCGCAGCCTGGGTGGGAGGGAAGAGAGAGAAGAGGTCATGTTTCCTGCTGAGCACAGGCCCTCTCTCTGCCTGACATCACGCTCATAGCGCTTCATCAATGTACCTGCCAGCGCGGGATCCCGCCGGATGGGCCCGCGCCATCACGGACGGTGCAACCATCCGGCACATACCCAAATAAGCCACGCACTGATGTGTGTGACAAGCCGCCCGCCCCGGGCCTGCTGGTGCACCATGAAGAACCAGGCGGGGCCTCCTACACCTCACGCCCAGGGGCTCTGAAAGCCACTTTCAAAGAACTGAAAGCAATGCCAACCGGTTTATACTGCTTTCTTGTCTTTTTAAAGACTTTCCCAGTAAGTGTAAAAAGAGCGTATGCACTCGTTACCAAGTGAAACACACTAAAGATGTGAAAAGAAGCAATGCCGGCCAGCCTCACCCCACTGCTCCCCTTTGATCCCAGCCACTGCCAATCAATCACTGCTCCCCTTTGATCCCAGCCACGGCCAATCAATCACTGTTCCCCTTTGATCCCACCCACTGCCAATCAATCACTGCTGCCCTTTGATCCCAGCCACGGCCTATCACTGCTCCCCTTTGATCCCAGCCACTGCCAATCGATCACTGCTCCCCTTTAATCCCAGCCACGGCCAATCAATCACTGCTCCCCTTTGATCCCAGCCACGGCCAATCACTGCTCCCCTTTGATCCCAGCCACTGCCAATCAATCACTGCTCCCCTTTGATCCCAGCCACTGCCAATCAATCACTG